AAAAATAAATCCTCTTTGCGTCATACGCTGTGGTAAATTGAATATCACATGAAAATAAACTAAAAACTTGATAAAAGTTTATTAGGTACTCGAACAAACCACTCCACACTGACTTTATGTCATCCATATAACGTAACCAATAGCGAAACAATGAATGTGGATAGATGAAGTGTTCTTCAAACTGGTTCATATAAATGTTGGCATATGTGGTTGCTACATTCGAACCCATAGCAATCCCCCACACTTGTATGTAAAACCTGCCAGAAAAAAACAAAATCACTTTGTCCAAAACAATTTGTAATAGTGAAACATTTCTTCTGATGATCATCAATGTCTAATTTAATAAAGGCTTCAGACATAACCTAGATACCCTCTTCATTTGCAATGGAGGGTACCCTCTACATTTGCAATGACAGACGAGAGATCCAGCAACCCCAGACGATCGTTTCAGCCTTGTTAGGCATCAACAGTGAGGTATAGTTAATATCCCTCTAGGCACCATGAGCAAGGGGTCCACATCTGGATTACCCTTTAAACTTAAGGAGAGCAAAAAAACAAGTCGCAAGAGAGTGCTGAGAAAGGACAACAGCTCAAATAGCCTGCCCTTCAGTGGGTCCCCGCTCAGTTCTCAAGCTGGTTTTAGCTCATCTTGTGCCATTACAGAGAGAACCAGACCATATATCTCAGACTGATTCCACCCAAAATGGCTGAGCAGATCCAAAATACAGGCTGAATCTCTCTGCATGAGCGATACAGCTACTCCAGACGATCGTTTCAACTTTGTTAGGCATCATCAGTGAGGTATAGTTCATATCCCTCTAAGCACCGTGAGCCAGGGGTCCATGTCTGGATTACCCTTTAAACTTAAGGAGCAAGTTGCAAGAGACTTTTTTTTCTCTACATGGATTCATGAAATTATTTTCTGAAGTAACTGTTAATCGACTAGGAGTCACCCTGCTTTACGTCAGCCTCTTGTAACATATGCCAAATCCTCTGACAAACTGCTCACCAAATATACAGCGTAGCCTGTAGCAAGGCAGCATTAATCTCAGAGACCTTTCCCTAGTCATACGAAAGCTGCAGTATTTACTAAATACCAGATACATGATTGCCCTCTGTTTGTGGAATAGAACTCCTGTTACTCTAAACTGGGATATGACTAGCAGAGAATTACACGAGTATGGATCCAATAAAAGATGCGCAGGGTATAGTTTGAAAATGAGTAGGTGGGGGTGAATCTTCCTCCCCTTTAGATAACACTCTATCTCACATTCCTTGCAAGGACTGCAACTCCCATTATGGTTTATGTGAGTGTGCAGTTTTTCTGATTTATGCATGGGGCAATTCTCAAGTTAAGCAAGATAAGACTGCCATTTTTAGGAATTCACTATTGCAATTTACACTCCTCTATCACCGCAACTCCTATCACTTTCAGCATTAACATATTTGGTTTTAATGTATGACTTTCATAGTTTAGTGAATTTTGTCTCAAATATTTAGCATTTTTAAGTTTGAATCCAGTCCACAATTTATTATTAGTATTATTTTTGAAGAAGCTCTCAATGACATCTCCACTAAATTGGGTGTTTTTGTGACTATTAACAACTGCTGGTTAAGTTATAAAATCACTCTGCCACACTTTTCACAATGTTAGTAATGTAATACTGAATTATGAACACCAAGTTCCTTTATCACTTTCCAGTTTTGGTTTTAGGTAATTGAACCTCAGTACACCTTTCCCCTCTAGGGCAAATACTTATACTTACTGTAAAGTTCTAGCCTTCTAGCATTCTCATAATCTTTTTGTTTCATCAAACTATCTAGTCAAATTAGGTTTTCTTTGTTTTCGCATTCACGTTTTCAGGTCACTACGCAAGGGACTTTCTTTTCCAATTCTACCTCCTTCCCCAAGGCAGCCACATGGTTGCTCTAACAGGACTTTACCTTTAGTTTAATTTGGCTGTTAGGGTACCTTAGTCAGACCTAGGTAGTATTTTGACTTCATGTGCCACAAGTTAGCTGACCCATGAGGCCAACTTCCATCCTACACTGGAGGTATTTCGCCCTTCAGCCCATTTCATAGTTAGTGGCATGCAACTCTGCCCTCTTGACAAAGAATTTAGGTCCTCTCCAGTTCCAGGCCAATCTATCTTAAATCTCTTTATTGTAACCGAGAGGCCAATATCCCGCCACAATGCTTGGTCGCATACCTATCCAATGGCCCAACTCATAGGTAGTGCCTCTCATCGCCACTTGGCCTCCCAAGTAAGCCCTCCCAAGTCACCAATCCTAACTTAATTGTTTTGCCACTTGGCATAAGATAGGTCAACCAGGTACCTGTGTGTTCTGTAGTTTGTTCAACTAACCCATAGTAGAGATCATTACAAAACCTTTCAATATAACAATTTTCTTCTATTTCTAGTATAGTTACAATAGGCACTACAGCACATGGAATACATGAGAGGAATGACAGAGTGGAGGGGAAGAAGAAGAGGGGATTAGGGATCGATAGGTATCTGATAATTTGTTTTCAGGTCCAGTTTGGATGATACACCAAGACATGAAAAGACAGTATTTTTATTTACAGCAGCTAGTCATGAGCAGTTATTACATCCAATACCTTCCAGCATAGTTTCACATTTTCCAACATTCCTTACTGGGTTCCGGTATAATTTTGCCCATTTCCTTTATGTTTATCTTACTATCAACCTTGGAAGATTTTGGCTGTGTGTAACAGTTTCTGAATCAGTCAAGGTACAACTCAGTCCACATAAAAGGGGGGCTTTGGCAATTATTCTTGTTCATAAACTAGGTAGTATTCATATATTTGCCCTCTTAAGACAGGCCGACCTGTTCATCAGTTTTTTGCACATCACAACTGACTTGTTCTTACTGGCATCGCTCAAACCTTATTGAATACCTTCGGCCTTTGTCCTCAACCAAGAGAGAGAGAGAGAGACAGACAGTTGTCATCCATTCTACTTAATATTGCACAGTAAATAAAATTCAAACTTCATATTGTTCAATAGGTCAAGCAAATAAAGTGCTTCATTTGTTATGAAGTAGAATAGGTTTCACATGTGTTTCCAATTTATTACAAGCTTCTGTCTTGATTATTTTTCCAGATTAGGTTCCCCTCTTTCACCAGCTGGCACAATGTACTGTATCTGTTACAAGAGAGTCCCCGTAGGCCTCCCAATTCTTTTCTTACTGTTCTGTTTTAACTGTTGCCAAATTCATTGTTTACAGAAATGATTCAGAGGTAAACATACACTATTTAGATTAGATTTATTTTCCTAGTATCTAAAAAATTCTAAGGATAAAAGGTGTGGTGGGAGGGGGGCTGAATATTTTTTTTTTTTTTTAAAGATCTGCACCTTAGAAATGAGTTAACTAATAAAACTAGTGAAGGTCTTAATTTTTTCATTTCTGTTGCTCTCATGAATATATTACTATGTTTTACATAAGATATTCTTGCAAGTATAGTATACAGCAAAATAATTGGAATTACTTAAAAGCAACCTCCGGCATGTATCAGTTGGCTAGTCCAAGAAATTGCTGGCTGGGCTTCCTTGAGTAAACGTTTTCATTAATAGCTTACTATATCGAGTTTAGATGAACTAAATACATTTTATTTGATTAGCATCACCAGCAAATTCTTTAGTGCTTGATAAAGTAACCAATGTGCCATGGCCGAGCATGATCGTTTTAAATTTGTGGTTCTGAATTTCACTCAGGGCACCATAAAATTAGATGATTAATGGGAAAAAAGAGAATTGATGTAAAGGGACAGCATTAAATGTTTATTCACAGATCAAGTGAGTAGTGACTAACAGAGGGAAGAAGGGAGGACCAGTAACAAGAATTCTATATTTATATATTGCATATATTTAATAAATATACAGTTTTACCCTCTAATAAATATTATTTTTTTCCCTCTATTGATTACTTGTTCTCACTTGATCTGTGAACCAAATTGTGGGAAAATGCTCCACTAAGTGTACACAATAATTATATTTATATTTTGCAGTGCACTGATTGGAATGATATGACCCATTGAAACTTCCTTTACTTTTTGGAAGGAGGTGGTAGCTGACATTTTCAGCAAACTTGCAGGCATTTGGCTTCTGACAAAGATATTTTTTCCTCGGCAGGCTGGTAATAATTTCTTGAGGATAAATGAGGGTGAGTGAGGTTTTATGGATTATACTTCTTTCTGCAAAATTCATGAAAGTAAAAACATTTATATGCATATCTGGTAGTGAAGTGGTTTAAAGCATTTGAGAAGAAACATTTGAGAAGTGAGCAGATAAGAAACAAAGTACAGGGAATAACTTTTTTTTTTTTTTTTACTGCTATTTTTGTATACATATACTTACATACAATTTCTGCATGGTCTTTGGGACTCAACCTTAAAGGGACAGTTTAGGCCAGGGCAGCTCAATAGGTAGATCCCCATATGTTGTAGAACATCCCATGATGCTTTGCATGCCTTTAGAATGCAGTTATAATAACAAAGCATCATGGGAGTTGCAGTTCTAAAACATCTAGGGACCTACCTACTGGGCAGCCCTGGTTTAGGCCTTTTAGGCACCATAACAACTTTATCTAAATTAATTTGTTATGGTGCCAGGAGGCCCCGTGAACACTCTTTACCTTCATGGATTAAACCATTCTCGAATAGTTTAACCCTAAAGTTGCACCGATATTTACTCTCCCCAGGCGCCATCCTGCTAATGAAATTTCAGTGTCAGGAAGCGCAGACTACCGCCAGGCAGGGGTGTTGCTGTTTGGCTTAGAGAGGTCAGCTGACGCTCTCAGCCAATGAGTGACTCCCCATTAACAAAACTAGCTTGACATAGGTACGTTTGTTTTCAAGCCAGTCACCACCTCCCATTGCTGCTCAGGCAAATACTCCATCATTAGCCTGAGTAGCACAGAGGGGAGAGCTTTTGATAACTCTTGTTTAGCATTAAACCATTAAAAAGGCTGTAATACTGAACAGAAGGTCGGCACAAGGGAACTCCAGACACTATAACGATTTCAATGAAAAAACTTTATCGTGCCTGTAGTATCCCTTTAACTTATTTAATTCATAATGCTGCATAATGTGATTAAATATTGAAAGTTAGTTCTTGGGTTCTAGTCTAGTGGGGTTTTATGGGTACCCTTACTATATTTGCAGGGCAAACTGAGTTCATAAACATTTTACTGTAAATGGGGGGGACTGCTTAAAGTACATCCTTATTCATACAGGGCACTGTGGATTTTCAAAATTGTGAAGAAGCAAATAAAGAAGTGCCTTACCCTTCACAGCTTTTAAAACCCAAGTGATTTCCAAATAATCCACTGAAGACTGACACAATGCTAAAATGAGCCTGTGATAAAAACCATCAGGAAAGAAGAAGGCTGAAAAACCAAAGAGCAACGTAAATAAACAGTGGTCAAATAAAAGAAATGAGGGAATTAAGAAATGCTAGGCCTGATAGAAAAAGAAGGTGATACAAGACACAAGATGTGACTAAAAATCATCTAAACCAACCGTGCATTTAAAAATGATAGCACCAAGTTTTAACAACAAATTGAAGAGCTATATGTATGTAATGGGCCGTATCCTAGTGATCTGCCACTATTATTACTAAGACTATCTAATGATATAGACTTTCCCTGCAGTTTGTCTTCAGCTAAACGATCTGGAATGTGTGATTATATACAATATTATATGTTATAGCTCGGTGCTCACTTCTGAGGTCTGTGGAATTCTTTGGATTCCTTAGTGACTGAACGATTGCTGTTGATTCTACTATCGCAAGGCACTATAGTAGCAGCATTCATAAGTGATGTGAGTGTTTATTTTTCTTCTTGAAAGACAGTGTAAGGTGAGGAAAGGAAAGTAGCCCTTTAATGCTTAGTTAAGTACATGAAAAAAATTGGTATGCTTTTTTAGAAGAAAAGACCTACTGTTTTCTATTTTATTATATTAGGGGTTTCATTTAAATCACATGGACATCATTTGTTAAAATTTTGTCTAAGCTTTGGAAGTTTCTGGGAAAAATTTGGTTTTCTATTTTACCTGAAATGTAATCCTTTGGTGACTTTTTAATATAGCTAACATCCATATGTATTCATAGCCCCCAACAGCGGAAGGTATGGAATTGGAATAGGAGGGGCAAGGTCAGCATGGGGGTATGCTAGATTATGCTAATTGAATCACTGCACACCGGGCACAGAATGCTGTTGAAATACTCTTGCATGGGGAAAATACCTTGGTGTAGCATAGCATGGCACAAGCATCATTAAACATTAATGCTGCATTTTCTGGAAACATGGTTTTTGATATTCCCAGGTGTGAGATGAGAGAAAACCAAAGCCAAATATTGGGAGGAACCCCAAAATCAAGACTGTTCTGCCAAATATGGGGAATTTGGGAAGTATGTATATGATGTAGGAAAAGGAACAAGTGGGAGCCTTGTGGGCATCTTGCAAGTCTGTGGTTGGGATTTTCATTTCAATTTGTGTACATCTACATTTTCTTTATATAAATTATTTTCAGGTAAAATGGACGAGTCATCTGCAAAAGGTGTAGATGGAAAAGTTCACTTCAGGTAGGTTTGTTGATGTAATCTATACACTAAATGACATTAGGTAATGATAGAACCTCTTCATTAATTGGTATAAATGAGTTCCAGGAAATTATGGAAGGCTGACTATCACAAAGGTAATTGCCTGCATGACAACTTCTGTGCCATCTTGAGAGAGAAAAATATAGGCATTATACTATTTTCTAACATTTTAATATAAGCTCTCTTTGTTAAGAGTCTGTAATAAGCTCATTAGGTTGGTTGTATTAGGAATATTAAGGAGAGGATTGCGCCAAAAAAAGAATGGGCATTTATATACACAATAAAAAAGAATGGCCTTGTTAAGGTTGTGTTGATAGCTTGCCTTTATGATGGACCTAATTACAGAATATTATCGACAGAAAATACAAAAACAATCATACCTCCAACATGTCATGTATCCGGTAGAGGTTGTGCCAGAAGGAAACTCACAGGATGCTTCTGTAAGAAAACTAATACCCTATGCTAATCTCTTGCTTTCATCTCTCAAGCAAATCCATAAAAGGGTAAATCACTAATGCAAATCACAAAACTTGCACCACCCAAAGGGGTGGACCTGCCTTCAAAGGGGAATGGCTCTGCCCGAACAATTGGAAGGTCAACCTGGCGTGAATGCATATCAGGCTCCTGGCCAATCACGCAGGCTGGCAAATTAAAGGCGTACTGTGCAGACTAAGCTTTTTCAGCACCCTGTGCTTGACACAAATGCTCTACGCTTTCTATGGCGGTTTTTACGCACTGTCTTGTCCACTCTTATCTTACTAGCATGCAAAACCTCTTGCATGCAATCTAGGACAGAAGAGAGGTGGATGTAGTGAGTGTAGTGAGTGTAGTGAGTGTAGAAGAAAGGGGACATGCCACCGTGTTTCAATAGTTATTTCCCTCTGCACAAAGCAAGAGCATGATGTAAAGAGAAGTAAAAAAAATTATAATAATATATATATATATCTATATATATATATATATATCTATATATATATATATATATTATTATTATTTTTATTTTTTTAATTCACTGGTCCTATTCAATGGACATGGGCCTGGAGCTTTAGCTCCATTAGCCCCTATGTTAATCTGTCACCTGATTGGTCTCCACGATCTTCTCTGCTGTAACAGCTGCCAGGCTGCTCTGCTCTCACTGCTAGCCCAAGAAGTTTACGAGGTGGGCAGAATCCTGATTCATATGAAGCAAGAAGTATGTGTTACCTTGCATCATGCAACACAGCATAGAGAGAGCAGGCTGAGACCTCTGACCCTACTCAGCATAAATTACACTAATCAGACTGGCAACATAACATTGACAGTACTAGCTGCAGCCAGCTACCTCACTATAAAGCAGATTCCTGACTCACATCTCTCTTCTCCTTGGTTGCCCCAGATGAAGCTCGAAATATTTTTTTAACAATTTAGTACATATACCCACATAATCAACAATAATTTGTTTTGCATGTTTTCTTAGGGGGTATATGAAAAAAACAACTTGTCAAACTTGCAGACCTGCTGTCAGCAGCCTTGAAAAGCCCTGCATCCTTTCCCCAGCAGTCTGTGCCAGGGAATACACCTTTCATTTGCTTCTCATTGAGAAGCCTATGTGCTGCAGACTGCAGCAGCGAGAATGCACATGCATACGATTTCAGCTTTCCTATGCTTCTCAATGAGCTTACTACAAGGCATGCACGCACTAGCACAGTGCACCTTTGCTGCCATGACTGCTGACCAAAATAATTACCCTTTTAAGCACAATAATGACATGATGCCTGAGTATCGAATAAGGGCAACGGACACAGCTTTATTTAACTTCAACTTATAACACTGCCAGCATTATCTCCACCTGATGGCTGTTGGGGTGACTACCCAACAGACAGATAATCCTTATATTTCCAGAGTCCATACAACCTGCCTTCTGCCATCAGCCCTCGCAGGCTGCGACTCCCCAAACTGCCTTGTCACGTGAATTATTTGAGCTGGCCTGGAACTTCGCCACTGCGATGCCGACCCTGGATCCACTTGACAGAATCACACCCCAGCAGACAGCACCTGTTCGATCCCAATTTGCAGGCCCATATTAAAAATATCCAGGCCTATTTTATTCAGGTGAACCCCATCCGCCCTCATCAAGCTGCGATTGATCCTTTCCAACACCACATGGCACACAGCCACACCCACAAGGCGACGCACAAACCTAGATATTGTCATGAAAAACTTGCACTGGCTCCTTTCCAAACCCTTGGCATGAGGCAAGGATTGCCAGCAAGCATGAGGAACAATCTTGGACCATATCAGAGTACACTCCAAAAACAAAGCCAGGCACTGTGGCAAGTCATGCTTCATGGAGTGAATTAAATGCATGGTCCGGACCCTCCCTAAACCATTACCCCCTACATAAATCAAAACAATAACTGCCCCAGACACAAACCTGCTACAAGCAATGCACTCTAGGCACACTTGGTTCCATTACAACACGCAAATACCCCTCCATCAAACCCACGCTAACTCATAGGAAATCCCCAGGTTCTGTCCATAACAGCATGACTCAGCCCGTCACGCTGCCCAATAGATAAACGAATGTCCCAGTATCCATACATAGGAGCCAACCCTGGAGCAAAGAATCACAACAAATGAGGATGAACGTACATATCTCCTGGATGCCCATCTACCCAAATGCTGCACCGACAACGCAGAAAAACCCAAGATGCTGGCTTGCATACGAATGAGGAGAGTAACCAGCCAGGTCCTAACCACAAGCCACCAGCACCTTTTGAAGAACTGATGCAAACTGAAAATACGTAAAAGAGTGGACCCATCTGCATGCGCCAACAGGGAAACAGCCGACAGCCGAGATGACATAAACCAATGAACAACCGCACTGGACAAAATTTGCCCCCGTACTCCCAACACAAATACAGATACCTCTATCTAGCTTATCCATTTTGGACTTATGAATATGTAAGTTCACAAAACGCTCAGACCACCGTACATCCGATAACAAACAGAATGGGGATTCAGGAAAACTATCTCCCCTGCCCGAACAGCTCCAAAGAAATGAGCGCTATGCCGAATGAAGGACTCTCATACTCTGAACTGCAGATGCCTGGTAACTCCACCATTAACTGCCACAGCAATTCCAAGGAAATCAGACGACATTGGTCCAGAAACCTCTGACTCCACCAGCTACGAAGCACCCGCTGAAGGCAAAACTCTTTAGTAATGTCTCGCCATCCAAGAAAACAAAAAAGAAAAGACAGCACTGGCTGCGCAAGACTACCCAGATTGAGCAAGCTATTTAAATACTTTAACATCACCTCAAAACGATCCATCTCTAATGACAGCTGTATAGTCCCATCCACGGAAACCAGCCAACCGGTCTAGACCGACCTGTATGCCTTCCACGTAGACACAGACAAGGAGTCCGACACCAAGGACATCAAGACTTCAAAACTAGGTCCCATAAGTAGGAAGGGCAGTGAAGACCCTCGTGATCCGCTTCCAGAGCCCACTTCCGAAACCAGTTCCACTGAAACCGAGAAAGACAGTCAGCAACCATGTTCAACACCCCCAGGACATGCCGGGCCTGCATCTACCCATTAAACCTTAAACTATGCAAAACC